TGTCTTTAATGGTATCAGCTTCCTCCTCGGTAAGTTTACCGAGTTGGTTGAGGCCGTTGATAATCGCGACTTTAAGATGCCCTAGAAGCGCATCCTTATAGTCGGTCGTCTTGCGAGCCGCTTTCCCCTGAGGCCTGTCCTGCCTCGGCCTCTTCGTCACCTTCACAGAAGGTTCAGAAGAGTTGGCGGATCTCAGCTTCTTGGGACCTGCACCAGCCTCACCCCGGGTTCGGGCGTCGACCTCTCGACTGCGGCGGCCGCGCCCTTGAGTCGACCTGTCCCCTTGCTTGCGGCGGTCGAATTCTTTTCGGGACAGCCAGGCCACTAGTCGATTGTGGCGGTCGCGCTGTGGGTGGGGGCCGTACCGGCCTCCTCTTCCCTAGGGATCCTCCGACTCATTGTCTCGGCGCCGCGAGACCGATGGCGGCGGTTACGACGGCGGACCTCAGTGAAGTTCTGCGCGTCGTCCGACCTTGCCGGCGGCGGCGGCGGCTCATCGACCCCTGAGGGCGCACCACCAGCAAGTGGAGTGAGATTTTTGCTCTTAGAAGAGCTCATCATGCCAAATTGGTTATTTAAACTTTATAAAAAAAGAAACCGGGGTTAGCTTGACGAGATGTCAATATATCGTTCCGAGTCGTAACTCGGAGTTCCTCATCCCAACATTTCGTCTTGTTTGACCTATGTAAAATTAAAATAAAGAATTGCACTTTTTGTAATGGATAGTTTATTATATTTTCGTTCTACCGGTTTCGACTCAAACTTAGAGTCATCTTCAGGAACACGTCACAATTTGAACTAAAACCATGGTATTATTGAACATTTGTTCGTGATTAAAAAAAGCAGTAAGGAACTTATCAAGAACTTAATAATTGCGTAATTATAGGTGGATGTGATGATCGATGAATTGCCTGACAAGATGTAGAATTGTTCACATTCATTACATTTCATTGTCGTGGAAAAGAATTGAGCAGTAATGGCACACGTAAGTCAGCTAAATCTTCTAAGAATTTGCTTCAAGTCGCCCCTCGTACGAATACAGTGGCTTTACATTTTTTGGCACACAAGCTGACATCCAAATCTTAAAAAATTTTTTTCCAAAGAGATTTCTTTGGTAATAACTTTCCGCTATCATTACTGTACATCTGATCTTTATATCGAGTGAAAAAGGTTTTTAAATAATCAAAATTTACCGTTTGCGGTCGTAAATCACGAAGGAGTTAATGCTGGCCATGTTCACTATCCCGTAGAATACACACAGAGGCCACCCCTTCTCGTTTTCCTATTGCAGTTCAGTTGGAGTACATTTGATCGAATGTGTCGAAACCAGATTTAGTCTCATTATAGTTCTGAACAATTAACATGCATTGTAGATAGTAGCAATACTACTCTCTGTTTCTTTGGCACATACGAAACTAATACCCTTTTTGGTCAAAACCGAACATAGAGGTTTTTGCATTTCGCTGCTTTATGGCCAACAGTTCTGGAGGAATTTCCTTTTTATTCTTTGGTAATGTCTCAATTATTGTAAGTTTGTAAGGATCTTGGAGTAATTTATCTGCTAAACTGACGGATGTAAACCGTCCATGGTTACATTCCTATTAGTTCCATGGACAGATTTTGTAAGTTCCTTCACAAAGTAGGTACCGAGCGGTAAACGTTTCGTATAGCTAACTTTTCCTAGATATGGAATAGCATTCACCATACAGCTTGTCGAAGAGTCACACATTACAATTTTTATACCATACTTTGAAGTTAATTAAAACGGAGTAACAGTCGCTACACGTTAGGAACGAGGAAAAATAATCTCAGGAAACGCGACCAATTTTTCTAGGATTTCAGTAAAACAGCCTCCTTTTTTCTCTACCAAGCTTTCGGAATCTTTTTTATTCCTTCATCAGGGTTACTGAACAAAAGAAAACAAGGCAATGAACAACAAAATTGATCTAAAATTAAATTAATCTACTTACAAATGGAAAGCGATTTAATCAGCTCAGGCGACATAGGCATTCAATCACCTCCAAAAGCGTCAAAAAACAGATTTTATTGTTAACAAAGAACCAACTTTAACTCCAAAGTAAACCGAACACGTTAAAATCTTTTATAAACCAAAATGGCTGTGACTTTGAAGAAGTCAAACGTTACAACTAAAGCGTTGAAAAATAAAAACCACAAAAACTTGACTTGAACATTTACACCAGTCACCCAACAGAGACGATGCACAACAATTTTCAAAAGTGAATTAAATGAAATACAAAACACGAAATTTAAAAATTATATAAGAAAGTTAAAAAGTATAAATTTTTTCATAAAACCTACGTTAAATTTATACACAATAATGTCTTTAGAAAAAAAAAGATGTTTCATTAACATTGGATTTATCTTGAGACTGCCAATTATTGGATAAAATGTAACTATAAATTGAGCTTAAATTATCGATATCAGTTCTAAAGTTGACGGATTTTATTTCTTTGTTAATATAGACTATCTCTAAAAATAACCTTTTTGGTATACTTGTTCCCTTTCTATGATAGTTGTATTGTTAAAATCAAAATGATGACCTTCATTAACACCATGGGTCACTAAAGCACTTTTTCTCTCATTTCTGGCTACGCAATCTCTTTTATGTTGGTTAATTCTGTTCGAAAGATACTGTGTAGTGGTACCGATATATGCACCATTATAATTATTACAAGGTATTCTGTAAATTACGTGAGACTGGTCTAGAAGGGGAACAGGATCCTTAGTTTTAGAGAACAAACAAGAAAGAGGTCTACCATTGCATTTTGCAAATTTTATAGTCAGTCTTCAGAACACACATCAACTGAGGTGTTAAGTTGGGAACGAAGGGGATCCTCATGTATCTAAAACTAGGAACAACTGAGAGGTTATCTTGAGAACCGTTAGGATTGTCTGCATTACTGAGATTAACAGTAGGTGACTGAAAATTATTGTTTTGATTGAGTATACCAAGCAAGAGACCACGAGGATAACCGTTGTTCAAGAAAATATTATGAAGCCTTTTTAACTTTACTCTGTTACACATTGCCACGACAACATTGATTTTTTGATTAATAGGGTGGTTAGAATGATAGTTAATGTATCTCCCAGAGTATGTGGGTTTAGTGTACCAATTCAAAATGATGTTTTGGTTGGGTTCACGCATAACCCTGGTATCAAGAAAGGGGACTTATGATCCAACCTCTGTCTCTACAGTGAACTGAAGGTGTTGATCAAAGCTATTGAAAACTCTGAGGACAGTGTCAACGAAATAGGAAGGAACTGAGCAAATGATATCATCAACATACTTAAAAATGAAAGGAAAAGTACGTTCAGATTATACAGGGTGTACTCGTGAATTATTTCCAACAGTGTAATTGCTGACGCTTCATGTTCGACATTACAGTAGTTAAGGGTCGGCTACATTTGGTAACAATACAGGTGTGTACAATTTGGCGAATAATCAACACATAGTGACAATCTTCAGTTAATTCAAAACCGAAAAGTCTAATGTTAAAATGTTGTAACATACTTCGTATGCCTTCAGGTAGAAGTACTTGAAAACGTATACATTGAATGATTATTTGTATCAAAATAATTCATGTTGAAAAATAATACAAGTAAATTTTATTAATTTTAATTAATAATAAAAATTTAACTCAACAATTAATGCATTTGTACACATCCTGTATAAGCGTACTATTTATTATAATATATTTAATTTATATTCTATAATATTTTAATTTTTGGTTGTACTCTTGAATTAATTACTCTTTGAATTTACTTCAAATTTTTGTTATTTTTTTGTAAATGTTCATATCATAATTAAATAATTAAAACGAAATGTAAGAATTCGGATAGATATGTTACTCGCAATACTTAATACATAACTTTCGGGTTTTGCCGTGCGTCTTTTAAGAAAATGTTTGACGTTTCGGATGCGTCCGGTGTGAAGCCGGAGGAGGTCACCGTATTCACCACCATCTTCCATGATCTGCTAAGCTCCCAGCCATCTTCTCTGTTAACGTTGTTTCTATGTCGATGGATTTCTATTGCTTCTCTTGTCAGTCTTTGGTAATATCTGTTGTCCCTAGCCAGTACTTTTCTTTGTTCGAAGTCTATTCGGTGTCCCTCTGCATGGCAATGTTCCACAAGCGCTAACTGTTGGATCTTCTTCAACCTTACATCTCTTTCATGCTCTTTGATGCGGCACTCGACGTTGTGTCCAGTTTGGCCAACGTAAACCTTCCCACAACTACACGATAGTCGGTAGACTCCCGCTCCTTTTAATGGAGTTAGTTTGTCTGGCAATTCGTTCCGTCACACCTGAAACATAGGGAAGACAGATAAATTCAAGTGGTTTTGTACTTACCGCGTCCTCTTTCTGCTTTCGCTGCTTGATGGCCCGGTTGATGTCCCTCGAAGTGTATCCGTTCTTCTGCAGCACGCCTCGTAGAAAGTGTTGCTCCTTCTTCAAGTTATCTCCTTCACATATTCTCGCTGCTCGTTGATATAAAGTACGGATCACGGGCCTCTTCTGTTGGGGATAATTATGTGATGATGCCTGGAGATACCTGTTGGTATGGGTCTTGGTTTTGGTTTCCATTGGCTCTTCTTCAAAGCGTCCTCTTCGAATAATTCCATGTAGAAATTAGTTATAACTGGCGATAATGGAGATCCCATGGCTGCCAAAAATTCTCCTTTTCAGCTGAAATACGTCGACGTAAAAAACAGTACCCCACTAGATCTGGTACGTATTCTAGTAATCCCTCGGTAATGAGCTTCTGGCGGAGGCCAGCCACAGCATCCTTAACTGTTACCCTGGTAAAAAGAGACTCAACATCGAAACTTACCAAAATATCCTCAGCATCTAGCTTTATACCTTTTACCGATTCCACAACATGTGTAGAATCCCTGACATATGATTCCGTGTTCCCTGTAAAAGGAGACAGAATCTTTGCGAGATATTTGGCCAACTAATAAAATTATACTCGAAGAGAAACGATGAAAGAAATTTATTTTTATATAAGTGCTACATGTTTCGAGACTTAAAGTCTCTTCCTCAGGCACAACTAGAAACAAAAAATAAGATAATGACTAAGTTACAACATTATATCTATTATTTACCGTCAAGTTTTTAGGAAACAAAATCAGAAAAGGGAAAAATATTCATCGTCGAATGAATTCGATTACTTCAAAAATATATAAGTTTGGACAGATCAACGGTTAGATTTAAAATGTAAAGCCTTAAGGGATGTTAATAACAATTATTGTACGTGTCGAAAATTATTCCAAAAATTAAAAAATCTAAAAAAACCTAAAAAAAAACACATGGTGCATTTCTGCAAGGTCACGTTGAAGAAGTCAAAATGGCTACTTACTTGTTTCATCGCTAAAATTCTTTTGTATTTCTAGGATATCAAAAAGTTTTGAAAAGTTATACTGTAAGAGAAAAGGTTAAACTTTAAAAATGATTCCTTTGAAATTGTTTCTAACTATAAACTTACAGAATGAGATTTTATTCTGGGGCAAAGTGCGGGTCCAACCACGACGTAAGAAAAATTGTGGTGGACTGAATTATGGGTAGTTAGTCGTTATTTGTGAGGGAAATTTAAAATTAGTAGGGGGGGGAAAAATTTATTTAAAAACTTTAATTTTTTAAAAAACCTATCTTTTATAAATTTTGATGTTATGGAAAAAAAACTGGTCAACTGGTATGTTGGAGAGTTGATGGCACTGACGATAGGGCGGAGGGGGACGTCTGGTTTATGAATCTTCGGTAGTCCATAAATTCTTGGTGGTACCGGCGCCTGCACAAACAAACCTTTTTGCTATTCTGCTGGAATTCCTGTGGATTTTATCAGGTCAGGTAGGGACAGCGGGAATCTCGTTAATCCATTCGATTTAATTAGATGACGAGGCATTTGGCTAGTTAATCAGGTCCGAAAAGACATTTTGGCCGAAGCTATAGGGACCAGAACAAATATTGTGGTAGAAATAGGGAAGGCGCCAGTCCGCCACGGCCGGTCTATGTTGCTTCCCAAAAGGAAAGAACAAAAGCGCCGGGTCAGTTCCGGTCGCCGTAAGTGGGCTGCTGCTGAAGTTAAGACGCTTGGGGATTCTAAAACATTAACATATATACAATGTACTCGGGCGATGACTAAATGCTCAAAATTGCCTCTACTCTAACAAAAATAAGCCCAAAACATAGATGTTAAAATAGTGGGATCAGTCGAAGAAGATGTCCCCATCGTCGTTCCTCCAAATCGTCCCGTTAAAGTGCCGCCAAGTTTTCAGCCCTCCCAAAATGGTCGAGCTTACGAAATGGTCGACATCACGGACTGTCACACCAAGCTTGGACATTTAAGTTCTCCGGGCGCCCACTATAAGTGGAGCGACCATGATGGCGAAGTCAGGGTAGCGACGCTGCAGCGACCGAAGAACCTCCGAATCGCTGTACTTAACCTGCTTGTGCCGATATGCCACTGAGAGGGGCTGAGGTCCCTCCCAGACAACGGACACATCGAAGACAACCACCTCTAGTCCGTTGTTCATTACCAACTCCAGTTTGCGCAAAAGGCCTGATTCTAGACGCAGATTCGGTTCGAGCTCCAAATGCCACCCCATTCGGTTCGCTTTGCTCTTTACCATGTCGCACAAGGTGTTATGGCGACGAATTCGGGCCAGTGCGTTGCCGCACACCATTGGAGGACGTGTGATAGAGACTCAACCATCATCACTAAAAAAGGTTCTATCCAGCCAATGAAAAAAAGTTACTCGTTTGTCATAATCAAGTGGTTGTAGTCGATGCACTACAATAACTTTGTAGGGATACATTTGCAGTTGTTTTGAAACAACTTTATGACAGCTGGCAACACTAAGTCCTGTTAAAATTATAATATTATAGCGATGTAATTAGGTTTTAATTACAAAAAATAACAAACCTGTTTGGGTAGATAACCTTCTCATTGATTTGTTACGACTACGGTCCATTTGCTCACGAATGTTTTCTACAATATCATCGGTGATTTTAGCTTTCCTACCACCAAGTTTTTGTTTACAAATGCAATTTCGGTCTTCAAACCGAATTACAACCACATGTTTCCTATGCTTAAAAATGTCATAATCAACTTCAATGTCTGGAGAACGTTGGTTGAATTGCTGGATGCAGCTTTGTATGGAATAAACCCAACTACCGTTCTCATCCTGCGTACCACTTCGATAATGTGCCATTAAAATAAAGGCATCATGTTCCGTTGTGGACACTATAACAAAAAAAATGAAAATCTAAAAGATATTCTCACTGAATATTTTCGTTATTTTGATTTGTTTATTGACTTATCGCTTAAAGCAACCGCTAGAAACAACGATAGTTCTAAAAAGAATTGTTTCGCATAATATAAAGGCAGCAAAAATCGGTTAAAGAACAAAGAAAATACGGAAACTCAAAAAGCGTACGACAATCACAACAATAACGTTCGATCAGACTACGTTGGATTGAAAGAATTCTTCGGAATTATCGAATCTGTAGATGTTGGTTTTCTATATATATTAAAAGATAGATGGTCGTTATGATCTCTGGAGATACTTAAGTCGAGGAAGTTAATGCTCTTATTTAGTTCCTTTTCCATAGTGAAGTTGTTGATGTTGTTGAAGATGTTGTACAATGCCCCAAGTTTAGCAGCGTTACCCTCATAAACGATGAGTATATCGTCTACATAGCGTCCATAGTATGAGATATCGGAAGTGACAAGTTTATATTTCTCTGCTTTAACTGCTTCTCGAAGTCATTGACGAACATTTCCGCGATGATGCCCGAAATTGGAGATCCCATGGGAAGACCATCAGACATTTGATAATATCGATTGTCAAATATAAAGAAGTTTTGATTACAAACTATTTTCAGAAGATTGCAGAATGTTGTTATTTCATTATGATTAATATTAAGATATTCGTGGTGGTTATCTAGGTGATTTTTTATTATAGATATGGAGGCATGAATGGGATGTTCGAATATAGGTTCTTAATATCAAACGATATAAGAAGGCTATTTTTTGTGAGAGTGATGTTCTTAATTTTATTAATTACATCCATGGAGTTCTTCACTGAATAGGAGTTGTGGTTACGGAATGAATTAAACAGAAAAGATTGGATAGTCTTTGCTATTTTGTTTGTGGGAGTATTTTTGTTAGTAATTATTGGTCTAATACTTTTATCTTTCTTGTGAAGCTTTATGAGACAGTTTAATGTAGGTGGTAACGGATTCATTTCCGTTGATTTGTTAGGACCAATATTGAATTTTAAAAGAGCGGTAGAATTCTCTTTTATAAATGTCTTTAGTTTGTTGCTAAAGGCTGTGGTTGGGTTATTTTTTATGGGATATATGTTATTATTATTAAAAATTTCCTGGGCTTTGTCCACGTAGGTAGACTTGTCCAAGATAACAAGACCTGAATTTTTGTCACCAAACGTTATTATGAGGTCATCGTTTTTGACCTTTTCTCTTATGGATTTTATGTTTTTTGTTGGAATGCAACTATTATTATTAATGATTACTGGAAGCGGAAAAAAAGTTGTAAAGTTCTTGAACTGTCGAAAAAAATGTTGTACTTGATAAATTGGTGTTCGCAATCTCGTTTATAACAAGGTTTGAACTATGATTACAACAAGGCACAAAGAACGCTCTCGGGTTAATTTTCAAAATTCTTTTTTGCACACCGCTATGTTTACCTCTCATGTTTGAACCGTTGTCATATCCCTGGCCACGTAAGTTATTGATATCTAAACCATGTTCCAAAGTATTTAACAAAAATGTTGTAGGCCCTTCACCGGTGGTCTCTGGTACAGAACAAAATAATAAAAACCTTTCCTCAATGCTAACTTTTTTGTTTACTAAATTAAAATATCTTACACAAACAGATATCTGCTCTTGATGGCTGACATCAGGCGTACAGTCCAGTAAAATAGAATAATACTTTGCCGTACTTCAAATAATTTCTTCTAGATTATTCCCTAATAAATTAATTGTTTCATTTTGGATTTTATTCCCAAGGCATATTTGCTTGAGATTGAATTCTTTTAATATGTACAAACATGATAGGATCAAATCTTGCGATCATTTCAATACACTTTACAAAATTACCATTATTTCTTTGAAATAATTTGTTACTGGAACCGCGAAAGGCTAAATTTTGTTCTGCTAAATATTGAACAGCATAAATAATGGATGATGTTATCGAAAGCCATGTAGATTCCTTTTTCAAAACATTTTGAAATTCTGAGTCAACAGTTTTATCCTTTTGCAATCGGTCTAAGAAATCTAATCAAAGGTGTATATTCTGGCAATGCATTTTACATTTTTCGGGAAGTTTTAAGTGTTCACTTAAGTGGCTTCAGTCATTAAATCCAGTAGTATTCAATTTTACGTTGCTTAATTCCTAAGAATTATGGTTTCATTTACCTCATTGTCAGTAACAGGTTTCGTTTTAATAAATTGTTGAGATTACGTTCCAAATTCCCGACAATTCTTTAGTAGCCTGTGTTCGATACCCTAAGTTGGTACGGGACGAGTTGGAAATCTCTCCGCAAACAGCCGACACGTATCTACGCGTTGTTATTCGGTTACACTCTCCACAAATTACATATTATTAGATTCAAATAATCCTCATTACTAAATTCCAAACGTACTCCTAGTTATAACACCAACAGAGGTAAGCCATAGCCTTAGCAAATGTCAAACTGTTTATTTTTTCCGTTGTTTTTATGTAATTTATTTATTTTCTAATTTGCTCTTATTTAGCAATATTTCTTATGATTCCGTTTAAAAATCATTTAAACACGGTAAACACACATAAAAAAATATATCAATTTGATCATTGAGAAGATTTGTCTTTTTACATTTCTTGTAATTATCAATTTAAACCCTTTTTCACATTTGTATAAAAGTTTTACATTGTCGAAGTCATTTATAAGTAAATGCGACTATTCAGGGTGTACGGTCCAGGTTTTAATTAAAGAAACAACTTTTTAAAAAGCTAATATTTCGGTTATTTATTGTAACCTACCTCAGACCATTTTTTATTGCTACAAGAGATTAACAAAGTTAGAGTTATAAATTGTAATTTAATAAACACTTACTTGTTTTTTTGAAACTAACAATTGTAGAACAACCGAAAACCTCATCATAATTAACGGATCATAAAGGATCAAGCGAACTATTAACACAACTGGATGAATCA